GCCTCCGTCCCGGCCCCTGCCCGAGGTGTTTCCTGGGTGCTGCGGTGTCCTGCGGCGGGAGCGGGCGGAGCGGTCCTGCGTCCGGCGGGGACGCGATGGCGCCTTGGCTGCCGGCGCCACCGGGCGCTGCGCATCGCCGTCGGCTTTGCCCCGGCATCCGGCTTACAAACCGGCAAGAGGGGACAGGTGGAGAGTCCCCGTCTGAAAAGCCCCAGGCGAGGGCGGGAGACGCTCTCCCGGTAGAGGTGAATCCCTTTTTCCCCTAAGCAAAACGTCGTCCCGAACGTAGGTGGTGGAAAGCTAAGAAGTCTCTAACTTTCTCTCTTCTGTAACCTTTGAAAGGGGAAGGAAAGACAGTGTGTAGTGCTTCTCTTGCTTTTACTCATGACTTCAAGTAGAAGTCAGTAATTGCCGTGAAAATGCCAGATTACTTACTACAAATGAAATACTGGTAGTATTACCCTGAAAGATAGATTTTTCTCTCGTGATTTAGCCAGGAAACTTTACTTTTCCTCGTACTGTTGGTAATAAATATTAACTCATGTTTTCTGTCATTTGGAAGACGACTGATCTCTGGCAACTGCTAATGCTTCATATAAGCAGCAGATCTAAATGTTACTTATTGCACCTGATCTCCTGTACTGGCTTTAATATTGCAAAAAGAAAATGGTTAATTTTGTGAAATTCTGTTCCAGATCTAAACGGTGAAAATTTTTGAAAGCTAAAATTTTTAAAAATGAGACATATGGTTATCTTGCTCTATTGGATAGATGTTTTCTGTTAGTAGGGAAATGGTACATGCATAACTAAGATATTTTAGTTTTAAAGTTTACATATAGGCCACTTCAGGTGCTAAGAAAAACTCTTGAATATGCTAAATATGAAGTATTTATTCTTTTTTGTTGTAGATCTAAAAATTGAAACAGGAAGTATTTTCATGACCAAAGATGCAGCAGCTGTCTGGGTTATGAAAGTAGTGTTAATTCTTCCTTGAATTGCTTGCAACTTTTTTTCTTTTTTTAATGTTTCTGTTCCCATTTCCCACCTAAGTAAGTAACCTGTTTAAGTTACTAGGAAACTTACATGCATAGTTAACCATGATCATAAATAAGTATTAAGTTTATAGCAGGGTGCAGTAAAATGCTGATATCTTAAAACACTGCAGTTTTTAATAGATAACAGTATCAGCTGCTTTGAGTGGGTGTTTCCGAATGTTTCACAAAAGCAGCTTGAAGACATGTATGTGAATAGAATTTATAACCTTTTAGAGTGTTCTTAGCCAGACTAGTTGCAGAATGGATGGCAACAAGTTCTGAAAAGTTGTGTGTCTTGTGTATATGTCAGGCACCGTAGTGATTAGACAATGTCAACAATCAGAGAGTGCCAGCACACTGCTTCTGCTGCACAAGAAGGTAATTTTTTTAAAGCAAGATTCCTGTGCTTTTCATGGATGTTGTTTTATTGATGATGGTTTCCTCTGACTCTTTCTACAGAAACATACACCATGTCTTCTGTTGATTCCTCAAAAGAAGATACGATGTCAGAAAAAACAGATGAGAAACAACCTGAAACTGAAAACAAAGCTGAGGAAAGTGATGAAGATGAAGAAGAGGAGGAGGAGGAAGAAGAAGAAAAGGGTACTTGTTTTTCTGTTGAATAAGTTGTTCTTTAATAAATGCCAAGCTATTGAATGCAGTCTCCTGTGATTTTGGCTAATTGTACAATTATTGAGGAGATGCCATAGCACATCTGTCTCATGGGTCATAATAGCTTCCCTGTAGACTATATCAGGCAGTGCTAAAAACAGTGGTGCTGATTTATCTCAGTAAAGATTGAAGGAACTGCCAGCATCCTGGACTTCTATACTAGGGATTGTTTTTTGTGTGTAATTTTTTTGATGATTGTAGGAGCTATTGTCCTTTATCAAATTATTTTTTGCCAGTAACACTCTGAAATGATCTGTGTTTGCCAAAGAAAAACTTCAAGTGTGCAGTATTTTCGGAAACAATATGAATGTTTTTGCTTAACTGCAGTGAATTAATTTTCTGGGTATCCAAATGTAATTATATTGGGTCAGCAGAAATTCCTTTAGACTAATTTTGGTATATAAAAAATTGCAGCAATATGATAGGATGAGGAAGCAAGGCAGGTTTTTTTGTTGGGGTATGTAATTGAAGGTAGTCAAGGAGAACAAAACAAGATGGGTGAACTACTATGCAAAAATGTTAATTTCTATTGTGAAGTCTCCAGGCATCTGTTTTCAAAAGGAAAGCATTCTTGGAAATATGGCTGTAATGTGGCACAGTGAAAACCAAGTCATTGATGCTCTTGGATCCTTGAAAGAGATGATGTTTGTCTTTAGGAAAGGCAGTAGAAAGAAGACAGATTATGCTGTTTGGAAAACAGCAGAGTAATTGTCATTGGATTTTCAGAAAAAAAAATTCTTTTTGCTCTGGTTTTGATTATGTTCATACAGGTTTTGAAGTGGCTTTCAGCTGTTAAAGGCAGGACAGCCCATCTGTTTAGCTCTAAGGATAGTACTACTTGAGGTGTCAAGTATTTCAGTATGAAATGTTCAGCTGAAGCTTTAGCTTTTTCTTTGGAGTGGTATCATTAAATTAGTGATGTGCTGGGTATATGTAAAACAATCTAAATGTATTCATTAGTAAGCAGTACCAGAATTACTGGGAATAATATTCTTGCAGTATTAGTGATACTCGTGTTGTGCCCTGCGGAGTGCTTCTCTGTGTACCCTGGGATGTGTAGTACAGTCCCACTGCACTTGTACTTCTGCTCTCCTGCTGAAATGTGTGGTTTCTCCAGTCCAGTAGTGGGAAACATATTGTGTGCTGGCATCCTGGACCCTGCTTTTGCCTATCTGGTGGTAGTATTCTTCATAGTGCTGTGCATGGAGTTGTGTGCATACAGAGTGCAGCATCCAAAGAGAATGTGCAAACAAGGTCAGTTTTGTATCTGAAAAAGGCAATGAAAGGAAAGAAGGATTTGTTTCTGAAAACACATCGTCCTACAGTCTCCATTACAGTGAAGTTACCTTTAGGAAATGCCCAGTCTTGTCTTCAAGGTTTCCTTGGATACAGGATTGTGGTGAAGAACTGGAGAGACTTCTAGTTATGTACATGCAGCTCTATAGAATCACGCTGGCTTATTAGCCAAAGGTTTGAAAGTGTTATAGTACCTGGTTATATCATCATCCATTTTTGATTTGCCATTTCAAAGAGTCAGTGTTGTGTTGCCTGTCACTTCAGTCAGATCTGCAATGAAGAATATTGTGTTTAAGGAAGCTGTCTTTTGCAGAGAAGAGTCTCATTGTTGAAGGAAAAAGAGAGAAGAAGAAGGTTGACCGACTGACCATGCAAGTTTCCTCACTGCAGAAGGAACCTTTTACAGTTACACCAGGTAAGCTTGACTTCTCACATACTAATTGTGTTGGGAATGATAACGAAAACTCAAAAAAGATGAAATTACTAATTTGTTGTAGGTGAGACCTAATTTATGAGTCATGATCCTTTTTAAAATAATAATGCTATAAAATATGAAAACTCTCTTTTATTCTGTAGCATCAGTTTAAACTGTAAAAGTTACATGATGTTTAAACTTACTTGGAATAGGATCTTCAGTACCTCACCACTCCTAACAAAGGCAGGAGCAGCCAGAATAGAAAGAAATGCCAAATCCTTGTACCCTGATCTAAGTAGTATCAAGTAAGGCAGGTAAAAAGCCTGTCAGGATGCCTAACTGATAGGAAAAGGCCTGCTTAATGTGTGACCTATTGTAATGTCTAAGATGTTTTTATGGAAATTCTTTGCTTTTTTTAAAAAAAAAAGTAGAATCTTTAAGTTGCAAACGCATAGGTAAATACAAATGTGATGCATAGCATAAATGATTTTAATTGTTTCAGGAAAAGGACAAAAACTCTGTGAAATTGAGAGGATACAGTTCTTTCTGAGTAAAAAGAAAACAGACGAACTTAGGAACCTGCACAAACTCCTCTACAACAGACCAGGCACTGTAAGAATTTCAATCTTATATCCATTAGTTCTCATGTACAGTGAAAATGTTTGTAGTGCAGTTTTTTACATTTGCACATATGGATCTATTTCTTGAGTGCTATTTATTACAAGCTGCTTAGAAAATGGGTATTTGCAGGACTAGTTAAATAAGCTTCCTCCTTTTAACTCCTATAAACTCACTCCCTATAAAAATCCTGCGGCAGGGTGTACTAAATCAAAAGTCTCTTGAATGTAGATTTGATTTTTTTTTTTCTTTAATGGTGGAATGTTAGATTACCTTACAAGGAGGAGTTGGAAATAATTTACGGTTCACATTCTAAAAGCTGCTGACATGCAAGTTTGCCAATACTCAAAATACTGCATGTGTTAATACATTGCTGCTTTTCTGCTATTTTTCTCTTAGTTTGCAGTAAGCAGTAGAAAAATAAAAGTGATAAAAATATCTACTAAGATTTTATATATAACACTTTTCATAAGATAATTTAAATATTGTCCATTTTGTATTTAAGGATGACACTTAAAATATAATGGCAAGTCTTTCTTGGAGTGGGTTATGTATCACTGATTGTGCCTTAAATTTCAGAGTAAATATGACCCATTTTCCTTGCTAATGGAAGCAAAATGTGAAATTGAGACAGATTAAATTGTACAATTTCTATATGTTTATTGTAACTATGGGAACTTTTTTAATATCTTTGTGTATTTTGGAGACTTGAACAGCTGGCACAGAAACCAGAAATTAAATAGTACTAGTATACAGATGTGATCTAATTTCTTAGACCACTGCTTCTGATGCAATGTTTGTTTAAATCTCAAAGAATGATCTGTTGCCACAAGTATTTAGAAAAAAATATATCAGTATGGTTTCAGTCAAAATTGTATTTAATCAGAGTTTTTGGGAACTCAGAATGCTGTTTGATATAATGAAGGTCAGATCTTGTCTTGTATGGACATATTTGTATGTGCTTTTAATTGTACGTAACGTTTTTAATAAAACATACCAGTACCACCTGCAAATTCTCTTTAGGTGCTGGACCAAGCTCTTTGGAAAAGGAGCTCAGCTTTGGTAAAATTACAAACTAGTGAAGAAACAGCAAAAATAAACTTTGTAGTATTGAAAGCTAGTTCAAATTATTCTTGGTAGTGTTATAAAGATCTCAGAAGATTGAGAGATCTGGGGTTACTTTTTAACTTTTTTTTTCTTTTTTTCTTTTTTTTTCTTTTTTTGGTAAAAGGAGATGAAACGAAAACAAAGAACTTAAGTACATTTGTGATCTTGATGGGAGCAATTTTCCATTTATAAGGGCTATTGGAATGGAAGTTCAATCCAGATCAGACACCAGGTGTAATGGTAGAAATTGTAGATTGGGTGGTACGTAAATGCAGATATTGCTCCTACTAAATAAGAGGTTCAAAAATATAGTCATGGAATTATGTAAGACTTCAGAATAGCTAGTAAAGCAAATCTACTTTAGCAGATTATAGAATAAAAAATAAAATTCCCTATTTTGTAACAAATGACATGATACAAAGCATGCAACAGGCTTCATAAAGTTGTAGTTTTGCAAACCTGTAAATCATCATGCAGTTCATTCTAAGTGAGCTTGAAACTGCAAGTGACTTTGTCTAGTAAGTTATTAAAAGTACCACAGTCACAAGAAATTGAACTTAATTATTGTAGTTTGTCTATCATAAGATAAGGCATAATCCATGTAGATTATAACCTAAAAGGTGTAGCTTTGTCTACAGAAAGCTAAATGCTAGAACAGGTTTTCTTGTATGAAAGGTTAACAATTGTAGTCGGATGAAATAGTTTAAACTGCTTGCAATGAAAAGTAATCTGTGTCTTCTGTTCTAGGTTGCATCCCTAAAGAAGAATGTGGGTCAGTTCAGTGGGTTTCCATTTGAAAAAGGAAGTGACCAATATAAAAAGAAGGAAGAAATGTTAAAAAAGTAATGATCTCTTGATACTTAACATAGCTTGACTCATGCTATGCAATCTATTTTTTCTTTTTTTCGTCCACAATTTTACTTGAGATTAACATTAAACTGTAAGACAGGTGGCTGTTTACTAGAACTCTGCAATTTTTTTTCTGAGTTCATTTTTATGACACAAACTGGTCTCTTAAGACAGTTTGAAATGTATTATGAGTTAAATTGTGAACATTTTATTCGCAATTCCTACATTCCTGATTTTAACTGTTACATGCTAACTAGCAGATTCTTCTACCAAATGAGAGGAAAGCGTTATTTCCCCGGGGCAAGCATAGTGTTGTGAACACATTGCACTTTATTCATGGTGCAAACCTGCATCCTTCTATGCCTCAAAACCTTCCTCCTTCAGAATCAAAGCTGTCTATGATTATTATATATTAAACATACAAGAATTGCTCTAGCAACTAGTCTCACAAACTTTTTTTATTTTTTTACTGTCTCCCTTTATGCGTTGCTTTTCCATCAACAGGAAAAGCTGCTGCAACTTAGTTTTGTCTGGACTGAAAAAGTTTAAAATGCCCTTGCATATTTGTGTAGGTAGTTGTAACAAATGAAAGAACTAAAACCATCTACAAAATATATTCTAAAACTGAGTGGGTTTTTTAGTTCCTGTTTGCTGGTAGTGGAAAGGCTTCTAGAACTTGGATTTTCCAAGTCTTTCTTCTTCAGATAGGCAGTTTTCCAGGAGTACAGTTTGCCAAATACATGGGAATCTACAAGACAAACTCTTATCTCCTGATGGGAATTTTGACTGTTTCCCAAAGGTTTAATTGGATAATTCCCCCTATCAAAAAAGGGTGCAAAGTAAAGTAATTTTGCACTTTTTTTTTTTCTTATTTTCTGTATGAAACAACTGCTAGTTTAGTCTTCAGCAAATATTCTGAAACCTGATTGCATTGGGTTGCATATGAAGGTGCAGAGCCCTGTGTGCTTGCATTACTGTGGTAGCTTCTACTGCTGTTTGTAGCTGTGTGGAACACAAACTGTTGATCAGTTTGTTAATTTGTTCTGCCTCTGTGGTTGATTTCTGCCCAGACTTTACACGTGCATGTCATATTTTAGCAGCATTGAAAAAGATGAACAAAGGTCAACATGTATTTCGCAGAACCTTACTATTCAGGCTATACATCATAAAGAATGTAATACTTTTTTTACTGTGGTTCCTTAACTTTTTTTAAATATCCTGTTATGCAGATTTGGGAATTATGTTTTATTTTGCTTTATGTAATATGGTGGCGATTCTTTGCTTAATCATTGATAAGTCTGGAAATGTAGTTGACTGTGTGTATATATATATATATATATATATAGTCAGGTGGCAGACACAAGCCAGACAGCAGCTTCTAGCAGTCAGATGTTGACCGTTTAGGATGTGATACTGAATCTCTTTTTCTTTTCTTTTCCGTTTTTTTTTCCCCCTACAGATTTAGAAATGCAATGTTGAAAAGTATCTGTGAAGTTCTTGACTTGGAAAGATCAGGAGTTAATAGTGAGCTCGTAACCAGAATATTAAACTTCCTAATGCATCCAAAATCTTCCGGCAAGGTAAGATGCAGGTTGTTATGCTTGCTCTTACAGCTCTGTTCTGATGGAAAGTGCATCTGTTCTCTATTCCTCATTGTTTGCTTGTTTCCAGTAATAATATAATTACTGTTCTAACTTACTGAAGTAGGAATGACTTTTTGAAAGAGAGTAGTTCTACTACTGCAGGCATCCATAACGGGGTGACAACTTAAATAGAAATTCTGTTTACTTGTGGGTGTCCCCATTAGACACTGTTAGTGCATGAACACATGGAGCTCATTAGGATATCGATTCCCAAATGCCAATTATCCTCTGCTTTGTGGGTGGAGGAGAATAGATACATGAAAGGATGGGAAAATCAAGTGTCAGATGTTGCCTCTGTTTGCTGTATTTTGCAAATGTATGTTATCACATTTGGACATCACCAAATGGAATTTGTTGCAGGGTACAAACGCTTGGATTTAGCCAGTGCACTAGATTCAGAGTGCAATTGCCAAGACTGCTAAACTGTGTTGTTAATCTTCTTGGACTTCTGTTTTTAATCTAAAAGTAATACTAAAATAGTTGCACTATTGCTCAGGAAATTAAATCTATTCCAAACAAACACTGGAAAGTGATGTGAATAAATGATGGGGTCAGCCTGCAGCTTTAGGGACACAGTTACTGAGTTACAGCAAAATGCAGGTTTGCATAAGAAGTGACAAAATTTCTGCCTTTAAGTCTTCTGAGTCATTAACTGATTTGTTACCAGAAGAAAAGGCTTGGTAGGTAAAAGAACAACCTAGAATGAACCTTTCTTGCTTCCCTTCTCTAACCTTTGAAGATTTGTTTTCTTAGGGAAGGGGTGCACTTATCTTAGAAATGAAATTTCATTTTGCTCAGCTCTATCTCATTAGTGAATGTTTACTGCAAAATATTATGGCTTGAGTGTAGCATATAAAATAGCCCTGGGTTATGTTAAGACACCTCTATAGTTCTTTACTGTTCTTTCATGTGATTTGAAATAATTTATCTTTTTTAAATTTACTTCTATATTCCTACTTGGATTACACACATCTCTTGTCTCTCAGCCATTGCCAAAGTCCAAAAAACCACAAAGCAAAGGTGGCAAAAAAGAGCGGAGTAGCTCTGGAACAGCAAGAAAAGCAAAACGCACCAAGTGCCCAGAGATCTTGTCAGATGAATCCAGTAGTGAGGAAGATGAAAAAAAGGAAAAGGACGAGTCTTCAGAAGAAAAAGAAAGTGAAGATGAGGTAATGAGTTATTTTGTTTGTTATTCAACATTATGTCATTGCTTTCAGTTGGTAATGCTTGGAACACAGAACTGGGGAGTGAGGTTTAGCTGAAGAAGGGAATACATCTGCAATTTTTAAGAGGTTTTCCTAAATTCTTAGTGTGTTGAATTTAGAGAATCATTTAGATAAAAGGCAAAAGTTCTGGTGCTTGAGTGTATGTATGCACCTTATAAAACCGTTTGCTGTGTGTAATTTTGAGGCAGCCAGGATTGCTAATGTAATTGTATTTCTTAGATCATCTTGTGATAACTTGTAATTTCATAATGCAGTGTTTGATATGATACCTAGGACTTAACTTTGAGTTCAGGAGGAGTCACTGACCTACCTCACTGCTTTGGTTTGGGATCTTGTTTCCATATTTCTCCTGGATTTTATATCTTAATCTCTCTCTTCAAGTTTTGTGTCTTAAAGTAAGCGCAGCATAGTAGGCAGCCTTAAAAAGATCTCTGCAATCTCTGAAGTGTCTTAATCTCATTGTATTTTGTGTTTTCTTTAAAACTTTTTGCATACTAGGCAGGAAGCATCAAATCATGGAATAGTTTGGGTTGGAAAGAACCTTTTAAAGATCATCTAGTCCAATCCTCCTGCAATGAGCAGGGACATCTTCAGCTGGATCATGTTGCCTTATTCAGCCTGGCCTGGAATGTTTCCAGGGATGGGCATTCACCACCCCTGTGGACAACCTGTTTCAGTGTTTCAACACCCTTATTGTAAAAGAAATTCTTCCTTATTTTTCTTCTAAATCAACCCTCCTTCGGTTTAAAATCGTTACTCCTTATCAGACCCCAGCAACAAAGTGCAATTAGTCAAACTGCTGGTGCCCAAGTTCTTTATGGCAACTATGTAACCCCTGGTGGTAATAAAAGTCCACTCTTTACTTAAGTTACGTTCTGTCTGTTGAAATGGAAGTGTAACAGGGTGTTAATAGCCTGAGCTATAGGAAACAGTAGCAATCTTTTGTTGAAAGGCAATTAATGTAACTTAACAGGTTGTTTTGTTGGGGTCATTTTGATAGGTGTTTGGTTTAATGTAAAAAGATGGTTCAAGGGAATTTTTATGCCTCCATGAAACAACCTTAATTCTTACTGTGCCTTTTTCATTCCTTGTAAATGGCAAATTGAAAGAGAGCTGAAATACTAAAAGTTGCCGTATCTGTTAATTTTTTCAGGAAAACAGGGTTTCTGCTGTGAGGAGAGGAATATCTGTTTCAGTGGCAGGAGTTGTCTTTTTTCCAAGAACTCAGTTATTTTTTAAAAAAAACCCAAAAATCTAAAACTCTCCAAACAAAATTCTAACAAACAAAAAGGCATAGCAGTAAACTCCATTGATCTAAGTGGGTCATCTTTGCTTTCTTTCAGAAGGTAGGAGTTAGGTATGTCTGCAATGGCTGAGTGGACTGAATTCTTCAGAAACTGAAGTTTAGGTGTGTTGAATAAATCGTAATAATTACAAAAACACTTGTTTGTCAGATTAGTTTGAAAATAGGACCTGGTGAAATGGAAAATCTCTGTACAGCTTTAAGATTGCAGTATTTTTTAAGAGTTAGGGTTATGACAGCTTTTGATACACTGGATGTAGGCAGTGTATCTATTTTGCTGTACCAGCTCTGTTGGAAACTTAGGCATGAAGTGGCTGGAGTAAACTGTGCTCAGAGTGGAAATTTTTCCTTTTATGGAAAAGGGGTATGGATTTCTCTTAATGGAAGAGGTTCAAGTAATACCTATTACTTTAATTTTATTATTTTCTTTTTGTAGCCCCCTAGAAAAGCATCTAAAAGAGAAAAATCTAAAAAGATGACTTCTAAAACCAAGAAAGCTGTGAAGGGTGCAAATGTCAAGAAGGCAGACAGCAGCACTACTAAGAAAAACCAGAACAGTTCTAGAAAAGGTAAATGCTTTAAATCTTTCATCGTGCATTGCCTTATAGCTCAACTGGAATGTTTATTAGAAAGGAAGCTTTTGCACTGTATTGTGAAAGAAAATGGAATTTGGGAAATTGTTGGTTTGCTACTTCATGCTTCTTTCCTTGAAACAGTATTTAATAAAAACACCTGTTGGTTTGGATGTATTTAATGTATTTTCTGCGGTGTGTATGTGAATAGTTTTTATTTGCGTATAAACTGAAAGTATCAACCAAGTTCTCCATTTTGCTGGAAGAATATTGGTAAAGTTCTGTTTGGGCCTCTGTAGTGGCTTTATGCAAATCTTGTAATTGATCCAGTAGTGTGTATCCCATGTGTGTGTCTTTGGTTCAGCAGCTTGATACTGGTTTTTTGGTAACATAGATATGGTTTCTCCATGTGTCCTTTTGCGGTTGTTTTTCCCACATCTCGCGATGTGCATGATACAGACACTGAGTTTCTTAATTGCTCTGTAAAGATTGCAGTAGTGAGGGTGGGAGCAGTGGTGTCTTGCTAGGCACCTTTGCCCAAAAGGGCCTGGGCAGGGCCAGATGGTTCTTGCAGACAGCTCATGGAGGGCCATTCAGCAATGGGCACTCCTGATAAGGAACACTGACAGCACTCGAGGCTCTTGCAGCAAGTGTGGGGCCAGGGAAGTGACTGGCACCCCTGTTCAGCACCTGTGAGCTGGCCTCAGCAGCAGTGTCCAGCTGTGGGCTCCCTAGGGCAGGCATGGACAGCATGGAGTGAGTCCAGTGTGGGGGCACCAAGATGATGAGGGGGCTGGAGCTCAGGGTGCAGGAGGGAAGGCAGAGAGAGCTGGGCCCGTTCAGCCTGCAGAAGTGACGGGTGAGGAGGGATCATCCTGAGGTCTGCAGCTCCCAAATGGGAGAGTTTGGGGAAGGCAGGGCCAGGCTCTGCTTGGAGGTGCACAGGGAGAGGATGGGAGGTGACAGACACAAGTTGCCACCAGGGAAACTGCAGTTATTTGTTAGGGGAAGAAACTTCACCATGTGGATGGTCACAGAAATGGGGCCTGGAGGAGCAGTGGAATCCCCATTGGTGGAGATGTTTGGATATCAGCCTGGCACGGTCCCAAGCAACCAGCTCCATGTTGGCCTTGTTCCAAGTAGCAGCTTTGGTACCAGATGATCTTCAGAGCTCCTTTCCCACCTTAAATTCTGTAACACTCTGCGATAGCAGCCAAGTCTGTCACAATTGTAGTATAAGTTACTAATGCAGTTGATATCCGTACTGCAAAGTACTCTATTTAATGCTGGTAGTGGCATATGCATGCTACAGCACAAGCATCAGGTCAGATTAGTTACCTTTCTTGTCAGTGCTTTGTGAAACGCTGCGGGTAATTTTTAATCATAGAATTATGCTAAATTTCTTTCATAATCTTATTTCTCAGCAGAGCAACTGGCCTGTGCTTAACTCAGTGTATTATCAGTTTGATTTCTAAATGTGGCTGTGTTCTGTGTACACCTTATTTTGTCATCAACACATATTTATATATATACACACAAATGTTATATGTGTGTTTTTGCTGTAAGTTACATAAGATATTCATAATTTCTTATTTACTCCTGCATTTCTGTTTGCAGTACAAAAATCAAAACGTTAAGTAGGTCATTTTGTAAGGTCATTATCTAGTTTGTTTGGCATCTGCTCTGAATTTCATCTTGTTGGCAGTAGAGGAACTGAGTGGATATTGGAGTCATTCAGTCTAATTCCTTTTCTGCTGGCAAAGATGGTAGGAGTGTCCTGTGCTTCTTAACTTCATTTACAAAGTAATTCTTTTTTGTTCTCATGGTCTTTTTGATAGTAAGTTTCCAAAATTACATTGCAAAATTACAAGATCCTAGTCTACAGCACTCAGAGGGGGAAAAAAGAAAGACAAACTCCTTTTTAAAGGAAATACTTGCTTTTTATTTTCTTAGGGATGTGATACCAGAATTAAAATTTTTGTAATAAGTATTTTCAATTAGTTTGATAGGTTAAATTAATCCCATACTTTTTAGAGTTCTTGTTGATATTTAAACTGATGGTTCATCAATAATTACACAAATTCATAAATAAATGTAGTATTGATAGCATTAGCTTTGTTTTTAAATGGATACCAGGTCTAGCAAGATGTCTATTTTGAAGGAAGACATCTGGATTGGATCTTTGTGGGAAGTTCTGATGGCTTCTATTTTTAAGGAAGAAAATGGACAAACTGAAAACCTATTACTCTCCAAATTGTTCTTCATATTTAGAAAGCGAATCTGAGGATAGTTCAGATGATGAACCTTTAATTAAAAAACTGAAGAAACCACCCACAGATGAAGAACTGAAGGAAACTGTCAAGAATTTGTTGGCCAATGCAAACTTGGAGGAGGTTACAATGAAACAAATCTGTAAGGAGGTAAGTAAATAGCATTTTGCAGTGTTTATAGGTAGTGGATTTTGTGAACTGACTTTTATCATCATTTTATCATAATTGCAGAAATGGAGGCTTGTACTCTGCACTGTTGTTCAGAAACTAGATAGTTTTGCATTGGATTATTTACTTGCTAATAGCTGTTACAATGAGAGTTTTAATCTTCAGATATGCAACACTGATATCAGTGTTAAAAGGGAAATACTAAAATTAGCTACCTGGGAAGTGACAGTATTGCCTCCAAACCAAGTGCCTTGTGTGACAGAGAAAATATCTGACATGTTTAGACAGTGCAGTGGGTTTGCTGCTGTCCATAGGGGACAGCTGTGTCCTGTGCTCTGTTCATTTCTGCTGCTCACTTTGCACAGTCATTCTTCATATGTTCTCCTTATAAGTCCATTTAGCTGTCACCTATCAGCATCTATCAGGATGGTTCTCAGCTGAGTTAGTGAGTGGAATCAATACAGCAAGAAATCAATTAATTGCCAGAACAGGTGGGAACCATATGCCCAGAAAAGGGAAAGGTGGGGGAAAAGTGACTAAAAACACAAATATAGTTACCTTGATATTTTCTGGTTAACTCACGTGTTTGGTTTTCCTGGTAATTTCAAGAAGTTATCTTGAGAAAACCAAACCAGAACTTATGAGAAAACTCTATGTAACTTGTTTTCATATTTATAGTCATTCTAGAAGTCTGAAATTTTGGTATGCTGAAATAAAATAGTCTGAATTGGTTGTCAGTGTTGGCATCTGTTTTTTGTTTGTTTGGTCCTCTCCCACGCTGTTAACCAAAGAGTAGTTGTACAATAGCACTAACATATTGACTCTTCTGTAGGTCTTTTGAAAGGATCACAGTTTTACTTATTATCAAATACTATGGCTTATTTATTTTTCATTAATTGTTTAGCTTCCTACACTAATGCAGGGCTATCTGACTACTTAAGAGAGCATTTAAAACAAAAATTGGAGAATTCTTACTTGTGTGACCTGGCAAGCTAGGCATTTCACTTTGTTGATGTGAAAAATTATAGTACTAATTTAGTCAGTGACCAAACATAAGAGTATCTGCATTTAAATATTTATGTGGTCCAAATAAGGACAGGAAAATAAGCTTGTGTCTTTATTAGCAGAGGGCATTTTAGCAGTTGTAGTACTAGAAGTACCAACATCAGTTTTTGCCCTAATTTCATTTAAGCTTCTTCTATTTATACAATCCATTGAATGAAAGTAATTTGAGGCTTGTTTTGTGGTTTTGTTTTGTTTTTACTTTTTTTAGGTGTATGAAAAATATCCTAGTTACGATTTATCTGACAGAAAAGACTTCATCAAAAAAACAGTCAAAGAGGTAAAGACTTGATCATTTAGAAAATATTCTGGGTTGGGGTGAGGTTTTTTTTCCTTCAGCCTGGTATGGCATCTTCTTACACAGTTTTAATAGCTTCTTGTATAATACTGGAAATTTAGTGCTCACCTAAACCTAAACCTTGGATGTTTCATTGGGTTTTTTTTCCCTTGTGTTTCCCTCTTTAAAAAAATAATTGCTTCAGATTCTTTTCTTAGCATGCCACTACTACTCTCATGTATTTGTTTGGTAAGCATAACTTGGATTAACATTATCATAGTTTTTAATGATTTGTACTCTGAAAGCTATGAATTTGCTTTAAATTACAGCTTCGGCTGCAAGATATAATCTTATTCAGGCACTGGCCACATACATCCATAGACAATAGCACATGAGGTTGTACAACTCTGCAGACTTGTCAGCTAAGGCAAAAGGGAATAAAGACAGATAGCTTTTCTTTATGTGCTCCTGGTAGTACAGTTATGATATGATGATCTTGCCTTTGAGTTTGTTGTGCTGAAGATCAGCTCTTATCTACTGTACTTATGACAGAGGGTTTATTGTCCAATCTGAGTTTTCTAATTTGTTAAAAAAAATCAGGTTTCATTACTTTTGCTTGCCTTAAAAGTAAAAACGGAACCGTAGAAGTGAGGCTCACTTAGTGGAGTTAATAAAGTAACTTCATTTTCATGTGGCTTCACTTAGAGATGTTGATACATGGCTATGTAGAATTGCTGTGTCTTGTGCATACCTGTGTCACTATCAGCAAAGGCATAAGAGAGCAATTTGTCTGCTCTAGGGATGTTTTTGGGTTTTTTTCAAAAGCAAAAGGAGAGTGTATTTTCATGATAATTTGATACAGGAGGAGAGGTTATATGTGATTGGATTGAGAAAAAGGAGAAAACTAATACATTTCTCTTTTCAGTTGATTTCGTGACCTGATTTGACTGTGGGAAGTGAAGATTCCTGGGTTTATGTTTCCATGGATTTGAAGATCTGATAGGCACCAGCAAAAGGAATGTTGTCTTACCCTTGTGGTATTTAGTCAGAGCTAATTCTGCTGATCTAATATTGAGTGTTAATGTAAATTGCTTTGTGTGGTTTTTTGTTTTGTTTTTTTAAACAGAACTGCATTTGATTCAATTTTTAGTTGAACATACATAAGTTTTATGCATGGCAGTAAATGTTCCCTTTTTTATAGTTTTGTACATTTTGAATTGCATTGTGTAACTAGATTCATTAAAGCCATCGTAGCTTTTTAGCGTGGATTACCTGCCTACAGGAGATTTTAAAATCGACTAAAATGAAAGCTGCTTATCTACACATATACATGCAGAGACTGGAATATTGCAGTATTGGTTACAAAGATATTTTGAAGACATTAATTCTGACAATAGGAAGAGTTAGTCACGTATTAATCTCTTCTATATTCTGATTAATTCTACCGATACAGAACTACTCTGAATCTAGATCAGTCTTGCATGTGTAGGCACTGAAAGAACTATCACAGCATGGTAACTAATTGGCATATAGATGTTATTTTTGTACTTTTAAAAGGCTTTTTGTTGTGTATATAAAGTTATTTCAAATTTCTTTTGTGCAAATCAGTTTTTTAATCTTGGTATCTTTGAATTTATGACATGAAATGTCAGTGTGAGGCAGTGACGCAGTGATAACAAGTGGTGTGCAGAAGTTTCATGAAAGTGAGCTTAGGTTTCATTTAATTTAAACCTGTAGTTTAACTTTATACAGAGACCACAGACATTGAAACAATGTCTTGGATGTAGTAAATAAAATCCCTCCAAAGGCAATAGGAAAATTTCTAAAGTTCACTTTGCAAAATATCTCTTATGTTGGTGTCTTGACCTGATGGCCTAGCATCTCCAAAGCGGCTATCCAAGATATACAGCTGGAGGCTTGATAGCTTTGGAAATCCACAGGGCTTCCAAATTGGGCAGCACTGATGTGAACATATATTTAACCTCTCTTCTGTGTGGGAACGCTTTTCTGAAGCTGAGCTTCATTGCCCCAGTATGGACAATGGTACTTGTAAGCCTGCAGTCTTGAACTTTGGCTGGCAGCTTTTAGGATCAAAGCAAACTCTTTGCATAAATTTTTTGTTTAGGTTTACTCTTCTGCATACACCTTGTTTCTAACATGGGAAGTCCTACACTTAAAATCATAAAACTAAGAGCTGCCGAAGTGTGGGCTGCCATTCACACCATGAGCACAGAATCCCTCTGACTAGTATTGCTGGAAAGACAAAGTGTATTTTTTTGAATTTTATTATTGTACAGATGAGAAGTAAGGATTCATAAATTATCTAAATTCCGAAAATGTTCAGCCAGTCAGACTGTTGATCTTACACACACTTTTGAATTTCTTTGCGTGTAACCATTTATAAAAAGGCTGAATGTAATGGGGATTTTTTGTATTCAATAAATGTCTTTCACAAAAATGTAAATCAGTTTTAATCTAACATTTGCTTACATGTATAGTAAAAACAAAGCCTATACAGGAACAAGGTTGTTTGTCTTTATCTCATCTGCTAGAAACTATTGCCTTCTCTTCTTTAGAAGACACTATAGCTGAAACGTGTGTCCTTGCACCGGGATTTTATATCTTCTGTGAGGTTAATTTGTGCTTTGTTTTGTTTTTTTGTGGTTTTTTGTCTCTGAACTGTCTTAGTAGAAAGAACACTTCTTAATTTGCAATTAAAAACGTCAAAAATTTCCAAGTCAGTCTTAAGAGCAGAAAGTTACTTGTATTTAGTTTTGATGTTTTACAAATACTTGAATGATCTTTTGATTTTTATGTAAATGCACTAGCCAGTTTTAATGATATGGATCAGGAAGTGTTTTTAAGATTCACAACTCCAAAGTATAAACATTTTTTAAATAGTTTGAATTCTAGTGAAAACTTAGAAAAGTATAGCATACTTCTATTTATTGTATAAATGCATTACTTGCCACTTTGGAATTGCACTGATGGAATGGAAATGAACTTGACATCCTTCAAATGCTTTGCCTAAATCTCTTAACAATGGCCTCAATGGAGAAGAAATGCCTGTTTCCTAGCAAATCCATAGCAGTCTGGCTGCAGCTGATACAAGATTCCAGTTCTTTCTGCAACTGGGAGAAAGGCTGCAAGACAGTACAGAAAGGTAAATAAATATCCTGCTTATCCTGATGCTGATGGTTTAGAAGCACATCTGATCAAGGATCTAAATCCTGTTCACAGAGTCTCGTAAAAATAGAAATGGGTTAACTGGATAAAAGGTAACTGAATAAATTGTTCAGGTGTGTACCTTCCAGATGCTTAAGATAATGCCCTGACCATTATATTCTAGAGAAAAAATAGTCCTAAGATGTTGATTTGATTGCTTCCAGCATAATTCCTACAATCCGATCTATCAGTTCTTCTTTAGTTAAGTGTTTGGTATTCGGTATTTTGGTTGGTGACTTGCAAAACCACAAGTTAATCTGAATGATTTCCAGGTATAAACAGCTGTTCTTATGAGCACTTGTGGCAACAGTGTATGGGCCCTGCAGGACAAAGAAGATGAAAAGGGCTAAGTGGGGAGATCAGCAATTTGGAGTGAAAAGGGGTTACATGCATTTAGAGTTATGTGGTAACCCATGGCATAGTGGTCAGGCATGTCTAACCAAGATGAAATTACAAAGACAGCTGTAAATTCCATCCCACTTTCTTTCCAGAAGCTGTAAACTAACAGCCTTCTTGGACCTGACCAGGTGGTTTATAGGGTCTGTTGTCTTTCTGTGGTACCCTGTTAAAAGCACATGACAAAGCGAGATCTAAGAATTGTCTGTGTTTGTATTAGCCATTGCTAAGCTGTACTTGAAAATAACCCTTTTGGAGGCCCATACTTAATCTGGACAAATAAAGCCCCTGGGTGTCAGCATAGTGACTCTAGTAAAGTTTATTATTAATTCTTCTGTTTCAGAGAGAGGGTGGCTCATGACCACTTGGGCAGATCTAATCTTCCTTGTTACCAAATCAGAAAGCTGAGTATAATACAGTAGCTTCAACTGGACTAGTTGAAAACACTCCTGAAATTACTTCTGATGGTTGTTATTGAAGGAGAAGAGTGGGAAAATCTGTCAGATACCAGACCACTGTCTGAAAACTTGCAGTAAGAAATTTAGTAAAATCAATATTTCAGTTGCTGAGAAAAGAAACACCTTGAATGCTGACAAGTGTGTTGTTTTCCTTCTGCAAAGAAATGCTTCTCCTGCCTTTGAATTCAGAAGTATTTATTAAAGCAAGATGCTGGAAAGTACAGGTCTAAACGTTTATTCTTGACATGCAAGAACAAAGGGGCTGACAGGAATCTCATGCAGGTTAACAAAAGCAGCAGCAGCATCCTGCTTTTGGAACAGAGTATCTCCACTCAACAGTGAGGGTGGGGACAGCGGTGTCTTACTAGGCACCTTTGCCCAAAAGGGCCTGGGCAGGGCCAGATGGTTCTTGCAGACAGCTCATGGAGGGCCATTCAGCAATGGGCACTCCTGATAAGGAACACTGACAGCACTCGAGGCTCTTGCAGCAAGTGTGGGGCCAGGGAAGTGACTGGCACCCCTGTTCAGCACCTGTGAGCTGGCCTCAGCAGCAGTGTCCAGCTGTGGGCTCCCTAGGGCAGGCATGGACATCATGGAGTGAGTCCAGTGTGGGGGGCACCAAGATGATGAGGGGGCTGGAGCTCAGGGTGCAGGAGGGAAGGCAGAGAGAGCTGGGCCCGTTCAGCCTGCAGAAGTGACGGGTGAGGAGGGATCATCCTGAGGTCTGCAGCTCCCAAATGGGAAAGTTTGGGGAAGGCAGGGCCAGGCTCTGCTTGGAGGTGCACAGGGAGAGGATGGGAGGTGACAGACACAAGTTGCCACCAGGGAAACTGCAGTTATTTGTTAGGGGAAGAAACTTCACCATGTGGATGGTCACAGAAATGGGGCCTGGAGGAGCACTGGAATCCCCATTGGTGGAGATGTTTGGATATCAGCCTGGCACGGTCCCAAGCAACCAGCTCCATGTTGGCCTTGTTCCAAGTAGCAGCTTTGGTACCAGATGATCTTCAGAGTTTCTGGGAGTAAGAGGATGGCAGTATGATGTAACTTGTCCTCCCTTTTCACCTGACCTCGTTCACTGGACTACACTATTTCACTTATTTTTGATCTAAATGTTAGACAACTGGGCCAAAAGGAAAAAAGTATTCTCTTGGTTTTTTGAAGGACTGAAATTTTTATGAGGAATATGATGAAATCTGCTGATTTGTACCTTATGTTAAAAAGTAGTATTTCATTTCTTCAGCGGCAACAGGTCAGTGTTACTAGAATTTGCCATAGCTTGTCTTTTAAACATTTTGAGTATGTAGCCAAACTTGCACATGCTTGTAGTGATCTGTGCTAGTAGTCTGCTTTTCAGGACCACAATCCAACAGTGTTCACAATACACTTACTCCATGAAAAGCTTTAAATGGTTATTTGGTAATATTTGAAAATTATATGCCATTCTTCTCAACAATTGTTACTAGCTTAAATTTCCTCTGGCCTAATGAAAATAATATAACACAAGCTTTTGAGTTGCTTTGTAAAACTTGAAGGCAAAAAAGACTGGCTATGAAAGAACAGCACGGTTAGGCCTTAGAGGAGGCTGTAAAGCAGCCCTTCTGAGGAATTGTCTAGCTGTAAGAAAATACCAAAATGAAAACTTAATATAAAATGTAATAAAAAAGTAGGTTTGGCCACTAGTTAAAGAAAAAATAACCACAACAGGGGCATCCCGTGGATACTTTCCAGTTTTATTCTGCTGCCATAACATAGTCACACAGAAGAACTGAAGTGTAACAGATCATGCTCTGCATTCAAATCTTTTCAACAACATTTAAACAAACCTACTCAAAGAAAATATTCCCTAGTTCTTTATTAGAGGGAATAAATTAAACACAAAATTAAAAACACATACATGCTTGAAATAAATTTTAACATAGATATTAAAAAAGTTTTGGGCAACATTAAAGAATGAAATCTCAGATCCAGCCTGATGTTCTTACATATTTCAAATGAACGTAAATTAAAATGGAACATATTTATTTCATTTACTCCTCAAACTTCAGTGCAGCACAACACAGTTTAAGTGCCCTAGCACCAAAACAATATACAAATAATTTTAGTAATTAGTAGACTAGGCCAATTTATCATTTGTTACCATTTTTCTAATGCCGTAAACATGCATTATCTAAAGCCAAATGTGATAGTATTTCTTCATGTCCATCTCTCTTCTCTAGAATACAGCATTTATCAGCTGCAAAGTTTCAGATAAATTAAAAATGCCAACTACAAATTAACAGAATGACATCAAGCATGTTCATATAAACTTTGGACTGGAGAAATGGATGCTGAGCTAAACTTTCCAGAACATTCCTACCTGAAATGTGACATGTTTTTATCTGTTACTAAGCTGACTGAAGTTTCTAAGCAAGGTTAGCTGAAGCAGCCATTGAATATAAGGTTTTGGGCTTGTAGTAATTAGCTTTTTCCCCACCACCAGAAGCTCCTCTCCCAATAATTTGTCATACATGATAAAACAGGAAAGAAACTTGGAATTCAAACATACATAGCTCTCAATCTTTGCTAGTTATGCCATAAGTAGGCCTGTATTATATGAAATTAACAAAGTGCAAATGACTGCCAAAAGCAAAATTTATGTCCTGATATTTTTTTATAATCAGAAGGCTTTGTCTTGCTTCTTACAGCTTCAGATTGCAATTTAATAATTGGAAATACTTTAAAACTGTACATACCAGCATTTATGTAGAGGAAAATCATGAACAGTTACACTCTTCTGATTAGTCCATATAACTCAGCTTTAAGAAGCAGAACAGAATATATATCTGAAAAACATCTAGTTATATAAACATCTTCACCTTGTAAATTAGAGATTAAATAAAGGGTTTTTAACAATATCATACCTACTCTAAAAACAAAATATTACATATTTGAAAAGAAGAATTGCATTTATTCAGTAGGACCCTGGTGGTGTTGAGAGCCAGGTTGGCTAAGGCCTTGAGCAACCTGGTCTAGTGTGAGGTGTCCCTGCCCACAGGCACTGGGACTAGATGATTGTTAAGGTCTATTCCAACCCCTTAACATCTTATGATTTTTCTTAAGGTTGCTTGTTGTTTATTTCCAAGGATGCAGCCTTAAGAAAATAAGCACTGTAAGTCAAAAATGTTTGCTGTCATTCTTAAATGAAGGGATTAATAAAAGAGAAAAGCCTATGCATGAGAATGGGGCAGGATAGAGTAAGTGCTTATGTTCATTTCAGAAATCAAGACATCTATACAGCCAAGTTGCAGAGAAGGTGTGGGGAAAGAGATCTAACAGTGGATTTTATTTTATTTTTTTCATTAATACCAATATAGTAGAACAGTATTACAATAGGTATCCCAGTTACATCTCTCTTAGTTCTGCTGAAAAATATTTTCCTCCCTGTCCCATGAAAAAGCTACTAGACAGATGTCTTGCCCTTACTGAATTACTCTCTCAAGTTGTTTTTAATAATACTTTCATAATAAAAGAAAAAAAATAAACTTCAAGTCAAAGTGCAAGCCACCTTGTTTCAGGCCTTCATAAGAGTGTTAATATTTTTCCTCATTCATCTTCACTTATTTTTTAATATAAAAGTTGAATGAATGATTAGGAACTTACAGTCCTGCACCCCCCACTGT